AAGTGGTCAAAGATGATTGCTTTCACTCCCTCAGTTACCAAGATCAGAGTTAGAGGTTTGAGTTAAGTCTGAATGCCAGAATCCTAGAGCTCTGAGTCACATGAGATTCTGTAGTATCTCATTGTTTATTCTCTTCTTACTTTCCAGAGCCTCTCTAGGGCATAAAACCTACTGACTTTTCAGTTGATTTTTCAAAAAATATAATTTTTTTCATATTTCCCTGATTACAAGAGTATTGCATATTTATTACAGAAACTATATTATATAGATTTTAAGAGCACAGAAAAGAAGATAAAAATGATGAATAATTCCATTTTTCAGTTAAAACAACTATTAACATCATGGTGTATATAGACTTATAGATGTTTTTCTTCACTAGCAACACAAACATACACACAGTGCTTTGTTCGAAAATATAAAATAAGAGGGCCGGGGTGCAGTGCTCAGCGCCTGTAATCCTAGGCTCACTTCCTGGGGAGCCAAGCGGCCGCGGGGGAGTTGCTCAAAGGTCAGGAAGTTTCCAAAACCAGCCTGGAGCAAGAGCGAGACCACTTGTGTCTAGACTATAAATAGAAAGACAGATAATGGCCCAACTTTAATATATATTAAAAAAATTAGCCAGGCATGGTGGCCGGGCATGCCGTTGTAGTGTGCCCAGCTACTTGGACGGCTGGAGGGCAGGAAAGCGAGCTCGGCGTTGAGCCCAGGGAGTCTTGAGGTTGGTGTGAGCCTAGCGGTTACGCCAGCAGGCACTCCACAGTCGTAGCAGCGGACAACAAATCGGAGACTCTGGCTCAAAAAAAAAAAGAAAAAGAAGTTACAATACATCACAATAGGGACGACCACTGCAGTCATTAAACAATCATATTTTAAAGGGAGTGTGACTATATGGCAGGAGGCAGGTGGGCTCGATGCGCTGTAGATCGCTAAGCTCTCTGAGGAGGCCGAGAACGGCGGGGGATTGCTCGAGCGGGTCAGGAGTTCGAAATCAGGCGCGGAGCGAAGAGCGAGACCCGACGGGGGGTCTCCTACCGAGAGAATAGAGGAGGAGGAAAAGTGGCCAACGCTGATCTATACTAGAGAAAATTGAGGCTGCGG